GGGGGCCGGGGGGTGGTAAGTGACAAGTAGGTTCTATTTATCCCTATTAGGAGCATGCTGGTGTGTAAATTTCTTGTTTGCACATACTTCTATGCTAACGCTTTCACAGTTTAGCCCCAGGCATCTCTTGCTTCTCTTCTCACCCCAACTACCCAACACCATTCACACCAGACTTCTCTTCTCACCCATCACCTGAACAAAACACGGATGTTGCTGCCTCCACATGTTTGAAAGTTCTCTTCCTTCTACAGAGAATACCCCTTCTGCTTACTCTTTGACTCATTTATCCTTTAATCTTTCAACTATCACTATTTCGGTGAACATTTTTGTCATACCTCCGAGCAATTAGCATCTACTTGCAGTGGCAGGCTGCTAAATGTTCAACAACCTGTTCACCTGGGGGAAAATGGCCTGCGTTTGTAGCATTTGCAGATTTCCATGGCGTAGATTCTCTTGGCCTGCAGGTGACTTCAGGCTCCCAGCGTGAAGTTACTGAGTGTGAGTGAAGAGACGCACTGGGTGCACCCTGGCTGACAGCAGCCTGCTCTGCACACCACTGCAGCTTCCCCTGTAATGCCTGTCACAGTCCATTGTCATTCCCACAATCGCCTACAGCAGAGACCTTGCTGTATTCTATTTCTGTCGCTAGCAGTTAGCACGTGGCTGGCTATATAGGATGGGATTCACAGGAAGACGTCAAGAATAAATGATTTGGGGAATAAATTGTATTCTGTATAGCACTTTCTACACACCCCTAATTCAGTTAAAAATGAGGAATGTATAGGAGGAGCTCAGTGGGGGGAGCTGTGAGCGGATGGCCGAGCCAGCGTCCGCAGTGCGTGCAGCTGCCCCGCGTGGTCGGAATCTCTGCACCCCGGCACTGGCCCTCATCTCAGGGACGCTGCTGCGTTTTCCAGTTCCTTCAGAGGCAGAATCCCCCTATGGAATGCAGCACTCACTCGCCAGGCCGCTCGGCACAGACAGCTCATGACTTCATGAGAAGCAGCCAGGTGCTGAGTTAAGGTCAGGACGTAAGGTCAGACACACACAGGTTGAAGCAAATCTTGCAAGATCCCCTCGGTCTGTACATTAGACTCCTCCACTTTGAGGAGAATGGAGTGTGCAGGGTTGCCTAGATTCTGGATGTGGTAGCCTAATACTCCAGGCATAAAAGAAGATTAGAACTTAAAAGTTGAAGAGAGAGAGAAGCCCAAAAAAGAAGCCAATAATTATTTGATGGAAACACAAAATGAAATTTTACTTAAAATTACTAACTTTTTTTAAACTAATGAAATGTTGCTTTTCCGTTTTGGACTTTCAAGTTAAAATAAGAGATTATCTTCTTTTCAATGAAAAATAGTTACCACAGTTTTAATGTAAAAAGTATTTCATGTGCCTTCCTTATTTAATATACTGAATTTCCAGTTGAGCTACTGGGGTACATTTCCACAACTTAGAGCAAGTACCAAGGATGTTGGATATAACATTATATTTGCATGTTGCAGCTGGTAAAATTATGAAAAACATGCATTTTCCTTAATCTATTGAATATGGACTGTGACGACTTGCCATGTAATCTTTTAAAGAGTTCTAATGATTTCTGGAAAATGTTGAAAACCAGGAATAGCAATACTAAAATATGGACCTTTGTATCTGAACTTAATTCTATCCTGCTATTGTTCAGCTCCTTTAAGTTCAATTACATATAAATTCAGACATTTTATTTGATATTTTAAATTTTTGTGAGGTTATAAATGTGTGGTATTAATTTAATTTTGACTTTGGTTATTTGGAAAACATTGAAGGCAATCTCCAGAATAAAACTTTAAGAGGCATTAGTTTTTAATGTCTCTTCTTACTGCTTATGATCAGGTTATTTGACTTTTTGAGTAAATATATTCTAATTTTATAAAAGGGGTAGTAAAACCTCTTACTTTCCTGGGTTATTGAGGAATTTAAAAAGGGACGGCATTTCTTCACTTAGAGAAGTGCTGTACTGTGTGAGTCACCGTTTGTTGGGAACGAGACTATGAATACATAAAGCAGGGCGTCTGTTACCCACTCTCCATAAGGTGAGAGGATGGCGCAGACAGCCCGGACAGGGCTCGCTCTGCTGTCCACAGGGGCGCTGGGAGTCGGAATCGACTCGACAGTGCTAACAACAACTCTCCAGTGAGTCATTCGATCTGAAAACTAAGGAAGGCTAAACTGGCTCTGACTATCAGAATGTTCATTTTACACTGAACATTCAGTGTTTATTTGGGCGTTTTTCTGAGCGTCAGCTCATACTGAGCTGAGAAGGACGGCTCTATGTCATTTATTTCCCTCCCCTTGCAACTTAGTTTCTTGCTTTTCTTTGCTCTGGTTGTGGTTTTTACAAGTCCTTTACTGAGAATTTTCTGGGAGATTATTCTTCTTATATATTTTTCACTGATTTTACGTTTTCCCCTTCTCATTTCTCTTAAATACATACAATTTTATTTCAAAATATATACAATTTAACTACTCCTTCTTGCTGCATTGTTTGTTGTGCTTCTAAATATAGTCACCATTTTTGGAGCTCTCCCACACTTTCCACTCTTTGCGTCTATGGGATTGATTTTACAGTCTGGGAGAGAGTCAGTGTCTTTTCCCTCATGTACTACATGGTGACCTCTGAGTGACTGTGTCCATCAGACTGGAGAATATTAAGCTCAGAGTTAGAAATAGCAGACTCTACACTTAGACTGAAAGCAGGATTTAACTGAATAACTGAAAAAAAATATATAGGAAAACCACCTTAAGTGACCAACTGCCATTCCACTTTTTCTTCTTAACAACTGTCCTTCATTAGTCTCTTGATCGTAAATCATCTAAAATCCAAGCACGGAAACTTCAGACTTTTAGATGGTCTCTAGGATAGAACTTATTGTATAAAAATCTTAATTACAAATCATAGATAAGAAATATTGTTAGAAACTCAGAATAAAGTTTGAGGCAGAGTCTACACACAGCTCATTTTTCCCTCCAGTGTTCTGGCGAAGAGAGTATAATTCAAAGAACCAGTTGCACTTGATTATCAGAAAGACTGGATTGGAGAACGGCTTTCTCCCGTATGCATTTAAACTGACTCCATTCTTTTCAGGCAGAATGGCTGGCAGTAGTAAGTCCTGCCAGTCAGATGTGTTGGGAGATACCTGTCATGGTGTGATTGCCACAGAGAGAAAGAAGTGGACACAGATATGGGCCATTTGAGGCCCTCAGGTCAGAGAGGAGGTGGAGGAAGCCAGCTCCCTGCGGCACTTTCTGGGGACACTCCGGGCATATCGATGGGTGTGCGTTAGCGCCACCTCTGAAGATTAACCCACCTAGGAGAAGAAAGGGGCCCATGTGTTTTTATTTTCTTGGGGTATAGAGAAAAGCAGAGGCCTTCTCCAGCATTTCAAAATTATGTGAGTGTTGTTGTGAGTTTTCTTTCTTATAGAAGTTTTAGGGTGGTGATTAATTGTTTGACCCTTATCAAACAATGAAAAAGATTCCAAGTCACATTCTTAAAAAGGGAAGCATTCTCTCTAAGGGAAACAGCAGAAATCTTTCCTTTCCAAAAGATTAGAAAGCTTGTTCTTATCACGAATTAAAAGACCAAAATTTACACCAGTTATCGTCTGTCGACTGCAGTCTCTGAGCAAATTATGTGACTTAAACTGCTCATTGGGATTAGGAACATTTCTGATATTATCTGAAAAGAATATTTGTTGTATTTCTATTAGTGGCACTAGAATTAGAAAGACAATCTGCTTGTTTTAACACTTTCTTCGAAGTCCCGTCTGATGTATAAAGAGGACATCTTATTCCTTTTACCTTGGATTATAAAAATCTTGAGAGGTGTTTTCCTGTGTTTTGCAGTTCTCCAAACATACCTTGGGAATTTAAGAAAAAATTAAAATGGATCCATTAAAGATCATGTATTATTTTTTAAATATTATAAAAAAGGAAACTTCATCTATAATGACAATAACCTATGTAGATTGATTTGTTTTTTCCGTTTGGAAAATGTAGTAAGTGGTAAGATGTATCCATACAGATCTTATGTGTAACTTGTTTACGTAAGCACCAAAATACAAACCACGTGCCCCCATCTCTCACTAAATCCAATTCAGTAGTTTTCCACTTTTTCCTCTAGAACTTGTGAACCCATCAGAAGATGAAAAAGTATCAAGTACTAAAAGAAATGCTTTATGGCCGTGAAATAATATACACGATGTTGCTCGGAACTTACGAAGCTAAGAGACTCCCTACTTTGATCCCTTCCTGGGAGAACTTTTGAGAAAGCGGTTTCCTGAAGCGGTTTCCTCCCGAGTGGAGACGGGGCTGAGTAGAAGATCCCGGTGGCTCCCTTCACTCTGTCTGCCAGTGCAGGCTCTCTTTGTAGAAGCAGAGAGAAGGGAGCTCCGTTAGAAGACACGGGTTGGAACACACCCATCTGCTCAGTGATTCCTCAGCTAGCTTACTCACAGCCCTGTGGAAATCTCAAAACTCACTCTGGCATTTTGGGGACATCTCAAGAATCATGTCCGAGTATTAATGGCCAGAAGCGTTAGGTTTTTAAACTTGATTTGCAGATAAATCCTTTTGGGGGGGAAAAATAAGTGGTCTATTATACATGTAAATTTTTAAAATAATTAAGTAGATAAAAAATCACTGACTGCTCAACTCTCTATTTTAAAATCTAGGAGCAACAGCTGCCGCCCGGAAGGAGGTGATAAGGAACAAAATCCGAGCGATAGGCAAAATGGCCAGAGTGTTCTCCGTTCTCAGGTGGGGTCATTTTTCCTCTATTTCTGTTTTGAATTTGATTATGTGTCATTTAATAAACATTTTAATACTTTAATCTGGTAATTTAAATATTTTACTAGAAAATATTTGCTTTTCCTTAATTACTTTTTTCTTTTAAATGGAATTGTCAGTTCCTCACTATTTTAGTCAAATTAAAATATACTAAATTATTTCTGTAGAGAAAGGCTCTAAATGGACTGCTTCACATTCTATCCCTCTGTTTGCTGCCAGACTTTAAAACATTTATTTCACAACAGTTTGAACATGTTATGAAAGAGGAAAGCTGTTTAATCCTTTTATTTTTCATTCTGGCCCTGTGGCAAAAGTCGAATTTATCAGGTACATTTCACTAGATTTCTAGGAAATGAATATCAACCATAAAGCTTGTTTATGCAAATCTATATTATCCTAATAAATCATTGAGAGAAAAAAATAGTCTCTTAATGTTTCAATTCCCTTGTAGTAGTTATTTTTTAAATAGACCGTGAATCATGTTATTAGTAAGCCTGGATTTAGAAAACAAGTGTTTTCTTGAAGAGAATTAACTATACTTTTTTTTACTTAAATTCAATTATCTATTCCTAGATAATACAAAATAACTATATTTCTCTTCAAAAAAATTACTTTAAAATATGGCACGTTTATATGTGAGGAGTATATAGTCAATTCACAATCACACATTAACAAGGGTAAATAGGAATGCCTTGGGAAATAGTCCATCTACATATTTTATAATTTCAGAAGCTAATGTTTGCCAAAGTTTTGCCTCACCTCTTTCTCATAGAGTAGCTACACTGGCTTTCTTGATTTCTCTTCTTGCTGTTTCTATCCTACTCCTGGTCGAATCACTGAAGAGTAACTAAATGACTTGAGGCTGAGAGTAGGGAGCCATGAGAAGGATGGAAAGCATTATCATCCTTTCCCAAAGACACCGAGTGGAGGTCAGTGAGAGCAGTGCGTAGCCTGCCAGGTGTGGAAAAGTCCTGTGACAGCTGAAACTGGAGCACCGTGCTCCCTACAGCCTGATGAGTGAGGCAGCCTTTGCTCTGATGCTTTACATTCCTGACTGGAATTTACAGTTATTTACATTCCTTTCTGGACTCATTCCTTCATTCATTCAATAATAAATATAGTAACACTTAAAGCGTTGATTATGTACCATGAAGAAAAAAAGTAAAGCAATATAGGGGGATAGCAAGTGGGAGGTGAGGCCCTAATTTTATTTTTTATTTATTTATTTTTACTTGGGAAAATCCATTTTAAATTATCAGTCTCTGTGAGCATTAGTACATATGTAAGACATAGTAAAATACAGTTAAAAATAGAGCTTTTTCATTTATTTATTTATTTATTTTGTGTGAGGAAGATCGGCCCTGAGCTAACATCTATAAATCCTCCTCTTTTTTTGCTGAGGAAGATTGGCCCTGGGCTAACATCATGCCCATCTTCCTCTACTTTATATGGGATGCCGCCACAGCATGGCTTGACAAGCGGTGCGTCGGTGTGCGCCCGGGATCCGAATCGGTGAACCCTGGGCCGCCGCAGCAGAGCGTGCACACTTAACTGCTTGCGCCACCGGGCCAGCCCCACTTTTTCATTTTTTTAATTCACTTGCCTACAGTCAACAAATTTAGAATAACAAATCTTTAAGTTTTAAAATCCTGGTAATCAGTTGCCTAAGTGACCATGTAATCCCAACAATTAAGTTGAATTAGTTCATTACCAAAGAGCCACAGAAAAATAATAATTTGACTAAATGAAAGTCTTTTGTAACAGAATATTGGAAATCAAGATTTAAATATTTTCACTGTTTTAAAGGAATTAAGAGCTACCATAGGAAAAAAGTTCTATATCCGAAAGCATTATGAGAAGAGACACTTATTCTAGTACATGATCAGCAAAGAACTTTCTGAGTACGGGCACTTGAGCAGTGTGGTTGACCTGTGGGAAGATAGGGAGTAAGAGCACTTAAGGCGAAGGGAGAAGCAAGTGCCAAGCTCTCAGATAGCAACAAGGGCAACAGTTTTGAGGACCACAGCAAGGAGGCCGGTGTGGCTAGAAAAGTGTCCTGTGGGGCAAAAGACTATGTGAAGTTCATAAGCTCAGCTGGACCCTCTGCACAAACACTCAGTTATTTATCGTGCCTCCAGTTTACCAGTAAACACTCTTTCTTCTTTTTCTATCTGAGTCTCTACAAGAAGAAGTAAAAACAGCTCCAGAATTTGCATATGAAAGTACATTTACGAAAAAGGAAAAATCTTTCTTAATAAAAAAAATTATTTCCATCTATGTTAGTCTTCAGACCACATGAAGGTGTAGGAGCAGTGCTATAGAATCATAGGTAGGTCTTAAAATTGGAGGATCCCTCCAGGCCCCTGCCTGTTGGTATGTAAGATGTAATTATTTCCAGCTGAGAAATAGTCCATTTGAACCCCATGATGGTCAATGACTTGACTAAGAGTGCACATATTGATAGAAAGTAAAAATGAAGTAGATGTTATTGCTTTCCTATAATAAAGCATCTGTAGTAAATCTGCAGAGTACAGGGGCTCAATATCCAGAGACAAGTAAGTTAAGCCTAGTAAGTAATAATCGACCATTAAATATGCACCACATACCGAGTTAGGCAATCTGTTACCAAATTGGAATGACAGACATTTAGACAATAAACTCATTACAGACAATGAAATGTGTGCTAAATACATTTAGAGATGCTTGCCTCTGGAAGAAGACAGGAAGGAGCCCTTCTGTTGCCTGACAGGAACGTTCATGAAGAGGTTGACGTGAGCAGTGCTGTGAAGGTTGGGTTGGACTCCATTAGGTGGAGAATTGTGGCGAAGGCATTCCTGGAAGCTGAGAAATTGTCAAGAACACAGTCACATGGTCCTGAGAGCAGCGTTTTCTGTGGTGCTTGCTAAGTGCCGGGTGCCCTGATCCGTGGTGGACACATTTGACAGTAATCCGCACAGCACACTTGCAAGGTCAGGTTGGCCTCATTTTACGATGAGGAAACTAAAACTGAGAGAGGCTAAGCAGCGTGTCCAGACTCAGTTAGTGAGCAGCACTAATGCAAGTCTTACTTGAAAGTGAACTCAGGTAGTCAATGAACCTAAGTATTTGAAAGAGCTGAGTAGTAAGACATGAAGGTGAGTGAGGAATCTAGTACAAAATGAGGCTGAAAATATATTCAAGTCCAGATCCTTGAAAGCTTTGAATACCATGGTAAAGCGTTTCATTTTGTGTGTAGGCAATGAGAGTCCTGGAATGATCTTCCTAGGGTGAGAGGCACACTCTAATCCGTGTTTAGATACCGCGTGTTAATGCAGTGTGAAGATTAGATAGCATGATGACTTATTGGTGTTAGGAAGAACATTTAGGAAACTATTGAAATAATCCAAGCAAAACTAGGCTTTGGGAGGAAATGTACAAAGGAAGAGACAAATATAAGGAACTTGTGAAGCTAGAAGTTGTAACATATAATGAATGAATGTGGATGGTGGCACAGATTTGTCAGGTATAGCTGTCCACCACGTTCCTTACCTTTTGGTAATTTGCAACATTATAAAGGAGCCAGAAAACTGTCTTTTCATCAGCTCTTGCAGGAGAGGTGCAGCCATGTTGCCTAGGATCCACCAATCAAAGGAATGCGCATAAGACTTCTGTTTCAAAATGAGCCTCACGAGGAAGCAGCAAGCGAGGACGGCGATTCCTGTCAGGTGTGGAGTCTGAGGGCCTGGCAGTAGAAGAGCTCCTTTTGCGTTTGAAGGCTAGCTCCACGCGTTAGCACAGGCTTAGGTGTTGGCTCCAAGCAGCAGCCGCAGCACTGTGCAGGCGCATCCCACAGTGGGCACAGGCACTGGGACTTTTGCTGGTTACAGAGCGTTCGGGTCTGGTTCTCTGGATGTGCGAGCTCTCTAATGTCCTTGAATACCTTTCTTTACTGTTAAAATTAGCCAGAGTAGATTCTGTTGTTTGCTAAAAGAACCCTGACCTATGCAGTGGGTGATGAGGGAGAAGAAGTCTTCTAAAAATATTCCACAGAGGTACTAGCCTGTGCAGTTAATAAAAGAATAGTGCTATTATCCAAGAAAGAGGAAGTATTACTCCATTTAAATATCTACCAGGTGTTTATTGGGAGGACCATGATAAGTTGAATTTGGCACATTTTCCTCTGGGATGCTGGCAGGATATTCATGTAGATGCAGTTAGAAATTCTGCCCTGGAGTTGCAGAGTGAGGTGAGGATTAGAAATGCAAACACAGGAGTGAGCACAAGGCTGAAGCCGCCTATGCAGATGTTCTTACTAAGGGAGAGAGGGAAAGTAGGAGAAAAGACAAGGATCCCCCAGAACAGTGCTTTCCAATAGGAATAGAATGTGAACCACGTCTATAATTTTAAATTTTCTACAAGCCACAGTAAAAGAACTAGAAAGAAACAGGTGAAATTAATTTTAATAATATATTCTATTTAACACATATATTCAGAATTTTATCACTTCAACATATAGTTAATATAAAACTTCTTAAAGAGATGTTTTGCATTCTTGTGTTTGTGCTAAGTCTTTGAACTCCAACGTGTATCTTACACTTAGAGCACATCTCAAGTCATGTTTCGGGGGTTAATGGCCACACAGACTGGGGGCTACCACGTCACAGGTCTGGAGACAGAGGAAGAGGTCGACCCAGGGACTAAGGAGGAGATACCAAGGAAGGTGAAGGAGAGCTGGGAAAGAAAGTGTCACAGACCTGGGGCAAGGAGTCTTTCCAGAAGGGGGGCAAAGTCGTCAGTGGGAAATAAGACAGAGGTGTCCCTTTGAGTGAGAACTCAGCAGCCATGGTTGGGATTAAGGAATGGAGCAGCTGCCAGGACCTTTGAGAGCTTGGGGTCTATGTGAGGCAGGAGCGGCAGCCACAATATTAGGGAGATGAGGAAAATAGCGGAGGGAAAAGGGAAAGGGGGCAAGGAAGGAAGGAGGGAAAATGGCCATCTTCTGTGTGAGGCCTTTTTCCTACAGTATATCATTTAATCCTCACAGAAACCTTGTAATTATCGATGTGATTTTATAGACAAGGAAACTGAAGGCCAGAAAAGTTAAACAACAACCCAACCTCAGTCATATAACTAGGATTTTACCCCAGGTGAGTCTGACCCCAAAGCTGTGATTTCCCCAAAAAGATCTTTCCACAGTTGGTATAAAATAAAAATTTTAAAGATTAAAAAAAAAAAATACTTCAAATTACTAGAAAATTTTTGTAGGTAAAAAACTAATAATTCAGTTGACCTTGTCTGAGCATCATCGGTTTTCACTGTTCTGCATGAGCAGCTCCATGTTTAATAGGGGATTTGATACCTGGATCCTGTGCAGAGGAATTATAGTCACTTTTTGAGGTTAAAGCCTGATTGTGAATATGAATGTAAAGGAAAAATATGTTCATTTCTTTAGAGATACTTCTAGTTTTTCCAAATCTATATATTAGCATTTAAGACATTTCTTCTTTATGTGATCTCTACTGGTTTGACAGCAGAAGCCTGAAAAGGTTGAAATACCTGCATATGCAAGTCAACAATGATTGCTTGGCCATCTCAAACCTAATGTTATTAAGTCAACTCTGCGGTAAAGGATAGAGAAACCTAAAATTTGGATTAACACTGCCATTCTCCATTCTATTTTCCTCTGTTTAGTAAACGTTTTTTGGACGTCAACTCTGAACCAGGTGCTGTTCTGGTCTAGGGACTGTGGATGCAGCAGGGAGCAAAGCAGACAGAAACGCCTGCTCCCAGGAAGCTTCTCCAGCCAGGGTGCAATGTAGTAGGCAGTGGCACCCCCCAAAACCAAGGAAACAAATCATCTGTATAGTTTTCCAGGGGTGATAAGTGCTTCCAGGGGAGATAGGGAGTACAGAGGTGCATGTTATTTTAAATCACAACCTCAAAATCCTCACAAAGGAGGCGATGGAGGGAAGGAGGGAGCCATGCAGATACTGGGGAAGAGGGTGACACAACACCTGCAGAGCCCTGAGGTTGAGGTGCTGGGTGTTTGAGGAATGCTCAGGGAGGTGGACACTGGCCGGAAATGTAGTCCAAGAGATGAGTGAGGATGGGAGAGTGGGGGGTGGGGGCTAGTTTTTTAAGGCTGTTGTCAAACCTTCTAAAGATTTTGCCTTTCACTCTTAATGAGAGGAGAAGCCATTGGAGAGTTTTGAATAGGGGAGTGACAGGTTCTGAATAGGTATTAAAAGGCTCAGCCTGTCTGCTACCCTGGGAATAGACATGAGAGGAAGGGGCGGGGGCAGGAGCATGACAAGGGTGGAGCAGAGAGGCCACGTAAGAGGCCGCTGGAACAATTCAAGTAAGAGGCTGGTGGGAAGCAAAAGAAGTCAGTCACAAAAGGCTACATGTTCTGTGATTCCATTTATTGAAGTGTCCAGAAGAAGCAAATCTACAGAAAGTAGATTAGTAGTTATGTAGGGCCAGAAGAAATGGGGAGTGACCTCTAATGAACACAGAATTTCTTTTCATGTAATAAATGTTCTAAAATTGATTGTGGTGATGGTTTCACAACTCTTGTCAGTATTGCTAAAAACCATTGATTGAATCACATACTTTAAATGGGTGAATTTGTATAATATGTTAATTATATCTCAATAAAGCTGTTTTAAAAAGAGTTGAGGTGGTAATATTTTGAGAAGTGGTAAGGTACTGGAAATATTTTGAGGGTAGAGCCCTCAAGACTTGCTGATTGGTAGGTGTGGAATGAGCAAGGGCACAAGGAGTCAAAGGTGATGCTTAGAGCTTACCTGAAAGATGGCGTTGGAGAAAGACTGTGGAAGTAGCAGGTTTTGGGAGAGTTGAGGAATTCTGTTTGCGTCGTGTTAAACCTCTTCATAAAAATGTGGAGTAGGTAGTTGTACACACTAGAGACACCAGATATATGTAAAAATGTATTGTAACTGTTTTTTCTAGTTATGTAGATTACAGTGCCTGCTTTGTGGAAAGATATGAGGTTATTCCTATTTATGGTTAGTTAATAATGACTAATGTGCTGTGATTAACAAATATAATTGAAATGTAATGAGGTACATAAAACTGATTGTAAAACAGTTGTCACAATGAGTAATACAATAATTTTTATATTAGCAAATCAGTGGGGAAAGAGGCTGAAAAAGAAAAGCTGGAAATTTTTACCAGTTGCTTTGGCTAGTTGCCATTTTGCGTGTTTGCTATGCAATGTCGAAAATTCTTAATAGCCCCGACTGTAACTCCTAGTGCCCGAATCTGGAGATGGGCTTTTAATCTCCCGTACACTCTCGGGTGTTCTCTCCCAAATCCAGTCAGTCCCACTGATTTTTGCTGCGCGTGGCTGGAAACTGCCGTCGGCGGTCTCCGTGGCTCGTTTCTAAGGCAGGCAGGGTGTCGCGGAGGCTGCCCGCGGTCGCCGGCCCCGTGATGGGCGCGCGCAGGATCGGAACTGTGATCTGTTCTTCAGTACTCGGAAGAGACTGAAACGTGACCACAGCAGTCATGTCATTTCTGTAACATTACTTCTCTATCAAAATATGGTATGTTTTAAGCAGAAAAAAAAAATTCCGGGAGCCAAGATAGAGGTCAATGTGAGTTACGATGTGCACTGTCTCCTAGTCTCGTCTCTTTCCTGAAAGAAATGCAAGTTAACGGCCGCCCCTTTGTGCCTTGGCAGAGAGGAGAGCGAGAGCGTGCTGACGCTGAAGGGCCTGACCCCGACGGGCATGCTCCCCAGCGGAGTGCTCTCTGGAGGGAAGCAGACGCTGCAGAGCGGTAAGCGGGCCGCCGGCATGCCCGTGCCCGGAGCATGTCAGTCAGCGCTGGGCTTGGGCCCTGACGCGCCCATCCGCGGAGCTCGGCCCTGGTCTTCAGTTCTTCTCAGTGCAAGAAGGGCTGAAGGCCCGCAGATGGGCCAGTCCCGTCCGCCGTGATAGCTCCCCCATTCCCGGGAACGGCATCGCGACCCCACCGCCCCGTCCCCTCATTTACCTGGGAACGGCACGCTCGGGCCTCCCTGTAGGACGACTCATTTAGGTTGTCTGCACGCACAATAGGTTTGACCACTTGGAGCCAATCAGTTGCTAAAAACAACTGTTTCGTTACATTTTTTACTAAATGTGCTGGTTTTCTATTTGATGAAATAAACACACGCACATAAATATACATCCCTAAGCCTAGAATTTGGTGGAGAATAGAAGAATATAAAAGGTGATTTCATTATCCACTTGAATACAAATTGAGAGTCATATGTGTCTTTTCTCTGATTTATCCATCCAGAACAGAAGAGACTGAGTAAAACCATATTTTATTTTTTAAAAAGAATGAAAATGTTTCCTTTGAGATAGAGATTTTTGTATTAAAATTTGTAGCTCTCTGGATGCATGCTGTCCAATAGAACTTTTTGTCATGATGGAAATTTCCATATCTGTACAGAAGCCACTGGCAACATATGGCTATTGAGCACTTGAAATATAGTTCATCTGAGAGACTGAATGTTTTATTTTATCTAATTTTCATTAATTTGATTTACATAGCCACATGTGGCTAGTGGCTGCCATATTAGACAGCACAGTGCTGTAGACTCTTACTTTGGTTACTTTTGTTATTTATTTTAACTAACATTACCATTAATTAGAGTCCAATTTTAACAATACTTTATGGAAATTTTACTTTAACAGGAAAAAATGAAAACAAAAATACACTATAGCATTTTCAAAACAATCTCAGCCTCTTTCTTATTTTCCTGGATCTTTTTTGTGTTTTCTTTTTTATCCCTATTTCTCAATCTAGAAGATTCCAGTATTATTATGGTTACAATATTTAGACACACCTCTTTCTACGTAGAAAGTGATCTCCAACTTCATGAATATGGTAGTGCTAAGTGATCACATCCTGGTAGACTCACTATAATTTTCTTTATTTTGTATGAATTTGTTCCAAAATCAATGTCTTTGAGTTTCCACAAAAAGAGAAAAATTTCTAAATGGTGGTAGGAAAATACATAGTATTGAAGTAAATTCCCCCTTTAATTTATAGCTAAAAATTATTTTAATAACTTTTAGAAAACACAGAATTTTCCCCACCAAAGTAAACATGCTCTCTAAAAACATTAGCATAAATGAATCATATATATGCACAAAATGCACAACCTCCTAATTGACTGAAATCTGCATAGTTTCTGATAAGCACATTTTAAGGTACATCAAGTGTATTATCAGAAACTATGGACTACATTTGCTCTAGAAGGATACATGCACTAATGGGCAGTACATAGTTCTAATATGTCAGTGCTGGTGTGGTTCCATATTTTTTTGCTTTACTTTTAAACTTAAGTTATTTAAGTTCTTATAGTTCTTTATTTGATTTTCAGAACTTTGCCCATATTTTAACTTAGGTTTCTTCAGTTTCCTTTTCTGTTACTTTAAGTTCATTGGTTTGTGTTATTCTGTGTTGAACTCACACAAACACGTACACCCATAGCAGACATAGAGTTAGAATCTCGTTAGTCCTGAGAATCTGAAAACTCAGTGTATATCTTAAACCATGTACATTAATACATTTTCAGAATTCATTGTCTGATGCCCTTCCGTTTGTCAAAAGGGACACTACTTAAAGCTTTACTCTTGAGCTCTTCGCCATGGTAGTAACCATTCTACATTTTTATCATAGGGATTTAGAGTGCACTGTAAGTAAATTATAGTGCACATATGGCAGTTGCTCTAGTTTTAAAACCTTAAATTATAAGAAATATGCAAATTAAAGTCAAGGGATAGAATTTTAATATTAAACATTTTGGAGTTACAGAGAAGTTTTGCATTTTAGTACTTAATTAGGGAAATATCAGCTAGGCTTAATAACATAGAAAGACTCATACACCTGTATAGTGAGAATATAGACCCTAACCTTATTTTAAAAATTACTGATAAAGCAATGGGCTTTTCAAGTTTGCCTCTGATCTGCTGAGATTTCAGTATTTAGGCTGCCTTTCTTTAAAATTCCCGTAGAATTATTGCTGTTACTGGCGTGTTACCACTTGATTGTAACATGTCAAGAATTTTGTTTCCAAAAATGGTATTGCAGTAAGGAAAAATAATTCTAAATAGGGTTGCCTGGCAAAAGAAGTCCTAACCATGTCTGTCCCTTCCTTTCCTCTTCCTTCTCTCCCTCCCCTCTCTAACATGCTCCGGGTTTGTCTTTAAAGAGTCACCTGCAATATCAACTCAGATACATTGATTTTCTTCTTCCTTTAAATTTGCACCCCCCTGCTTTTCCATTGCATTAGGAAACTGTCCTATTCAGTATTAAATAGTGTGAATTATGCCACTGACAAGTTCTGCCATTTTGTCTGACATTGTAAAACCATAAATCACCAAGCACAGCAGTGGTTTTGTCATACTTGGTGTGAGTCAAATGCACGTTTTAGATGGACCTAGTCCCTTATCAGTTCAATCTAAGCAAAACAAAAACATTCCTAAGTGTTTTCTTAAAGGGTTAATCATTCTGCCATTTATTTAGGGAGCAAAAACCAAACCAAATCACTTAGGTGCATCCCGCTCATAAAATAATCTTATCATTTTTGTTGTGTCTTTTCTTTCTTTTTAGCATTTCTGTTTTGTTGTCTGTGCCAGGATCCAGCCCTTACAGGAACATTAATCTCGTAGCTCCCTGATCGTCACTGATTTGTTCGTAGAGTTAAAACCCTCTGCTCATTTTTCTCATTCGTTTTGCACCCCTTTCTTCTCTTCAGCTACTGTTGAGGCTATTGAGGCTGACGAAGGTAAATTGGCCAGTCCCCTTTCTGTTGTGCTGCAACAGATAAGGGCTCTGCTGGGTGTATTCTTTTTTTTTTTTTTTTTTTTTTTTTATTGCTGTAGCTTGTACAGAGTGTGTGGGTGTTGGGCTAACAGTTGTGGCTCAGTATTAACCGAAATGTTCTTGCTTTAAAGGGGAAAGTGTCCTTTTATGGTTTGTTTGTTTGTTTTTTTTCCCTTAAAGCTATGTTTGACTTTGTATACAATGAACCTAATATAATCACAGAAAACAAAAGGATTCTATATTTTGAACGATGTGGGGTGGGGGTTATGGCAGCTGTTTTGACAAATAACACATAAAACAATATTCTTTGAGCTGAACCATGTCCCTCCCTCAAGTCACTTTAAGTCAGCACTGAAAAGGAGAGAATAAAAATAGCTTTGTTAATTCTAGTCTTCAGAAGTTTCAGAAGAAGTTTTTCAGAAGAAAAAAAATGTTCATTTGAATAGTGCTTTATTGTAGTTCAACACTAATGTCTCTAAAAAATATTCCAACATGAGACAGATGTATATGAGATGAACAGTTCTGCTAGTCGTTTCAAATTGTAACCTACCAGTGTCTGAAGACAGCGAACACCATCGAGGCGGCCGTAGGGGTGGCCGGTAACCTGCAGAGCGAATACCCAGGCGTCACTCGGTGATGTTTACCGAGGGTCTGCTCTGCGCCAGGCCCTGTGCTGGGTGCTGCAGGGGAAATTGAGAAGTATGTTGTCACCGACCCTGTCCTAGCACTGCTCCGGAACAAGCGAGTTGACCCTTTAGCAATTACTTTTGAATTGAGTGCTTTTTAAATGTGTAGTTATGAGAGAACTGCATATCAAAATAGTTTTTAATACTATACGTACCATACCCTCTGGAAATTTTAAAAAGAATAATTTGAAGTTCCCCTTTAAAACAAAATTCTTCAGTTGTATTTTGTTCTTGCAAGATAACTTTTTATTTTTCCCAAAATTGTGTGCCTGTGGTCCTTTGATACGATATATAAAGTGCCACTTTAGACTCTTGAATTTGTCCATGATTTGGATGTGGTAGGGGAAATGATAGAACTGTAAGAGAAAATACAACTGCTTCCTAAATAGCGGTGAATAAACTGCTATTTATGTGGGAATTCTCTATTCCTCTTGGCAAATTCTAATCTGCAGTGTGCATTCTTGTTGATAGTTTGGCTGTTTTCTGTGGTTTCTGTGACTCTGTGTTGTGTTAAGTATACCACCAATGTAAATTGCTAATACCCATTGTCTGACCAGCAACTACAGCAGAGCACGTTCTTCCATACCAGGATAGACAAAAATGATTAGAAATGGAGCTCCATCCTGGACATATCCATTGTTCTAACTAGATTTTGAATTTCTACGCTCCCACCCTATTGGCTTTTAAAACCTAGATTCTACTTTTACCATTTAAATTAATAAAATTGCTTAATCAATTATCATGATGACAAACTTTTTATATTCATTAATTATGATGAAATGATATTCACAGTAGTTTAGAAAAAGAAGACAGTACCACTTCATGCCATTATTTTGTCCCTCAAAATAATTGAGTTAGTTTTCAGGGTGGGTGCTCAATCGACAGTTCTGTTATTTTGCAATTTTTTACTAAATTAGAGAAGAATTAAGAAGCTTTGCTTTGGGCCTTGGTCTTTCCCCATTTCCCCATCTTCTCCCTCTCACAGTTGACTGATCACCATGATGCTCACCTTTAAAATGCAGAGGGGGACAAACCACTTCTCTTCGTTTAATGTGTGCAACCAACTGTGTATATCTTTTAAGAATCTCATCCATACTAATAAAAGGCACTGCACATTTGTGTAGGAGTGGCTAGCAAAGTTTCAGCTCGAAACTGCTTTCCTTTTTTCCCCAAATAAGGTGAGGTGGATAAAGGTACCACGAAATTGTCCTTAATCAGCCATGGAGATGCAGCCCAGTTCAGCGCTGGTGATTGGCTCTTCAGTATCTGGCTTGCACTTCACAAGAAGTAAAGCAAACTGATGTCACTGGTTCCCCGTGTATGTACTTAATTTTCAGCTCACTGTTTGGTGCACTCACTGAAAAAATTATTAGGTTTCCTGCACAAGTACCTTATCTATCTCTGGAGCACACTAAGGATTACTGAAAAAAAATCAAATATCAATGCTCCCCTTTGAGAATTCCATATTTTCATTGAATATGGCCAAAACCAGTCCTATTCATTTTTGCTAACAGTTGTGAAAGGCATTTTTCCCTTGGTATTCTTGAACCATCACTTACATCCACATGGATCTACTAAGAGTTTTTCTTTGATGTAGACGGTGCTGGGTACCGGATGAACATCAGTTTGACCTGTTCGCTGCTGAAGGGCAGACAAAGGTTTTCTACTTAGTGATCTGATCTTGATTTTTTCAAGTTTCTCTTACTTTGTCACCCACTCCACATGCTTCTAAAGTTGAGTAGAGAAGCAGGAGTTTATAATTTTTTTTCCATCACCATTGAGTTGTTTGCCAAAGAAGTTTTTCTGGGATTCTGAGGTGCCGTGGAAATGCCCCAAGTTAACTCGTTTTATAGCTCTGTTTAGCTTCTGCTCTAAACTCTTTCTTGGATTTTTAGCTCTGCCTGCCTCAGTCTGCCTGACTCCACTGAATTTACCGTTACTAGCACAATGGAATAGGGACAGTAGGGCTACGTTCCGGTCGAAGTTAGGTGATTGATGCAGTAATCATGCTGGTGATGTGGCCAGATGATGCTGGGTCTGGAGGCCTGTCCCTAGTAGCAGCTTTCCTCTTTACATAGCCACTTCAGATTTTGTTGATCTAAACTCTCACGAAGACAAGAGAAATGTTTACGTCTCACTAACTTGAAGAGGACATTTTGGTTGGCAAGAGACATTGGCTACTTTCGAACCTTTTGGTTATCTTCGGGTATGGTAAGGAGTCTGTTGTGTTGTGTTCAGGTCCCGTCACTTTGTTCTCTACTAAAGGATTCCCTCTCTCACTGCGAAGTCTCTAACATCACCTGATGCAGCAGCTGTGCCCTTTGTTTTCCTCCGCCTAACCCACGTTTCCTTTTTTAATGATTTTCTGTTTAGCTATCAAAGGATTTTCACCACAACATAAGATCACTAGCTTCGAAGAGGCCAAGGGCTTAGACCGAATTAACGAGAGGATGCCACCTCGCAGAGATGCCATGCCCTCGGACGCCAACCTTAACTCCATCCACAAGGCTCTCACCTCAGAGACTAACGGCACGGACAGCAATGGCAGCAATAGCAGCAACATCCAGTGACCACTTCCTGTTCACTTTTTTTTTTTTTTTTTTTGAGCTGCAGGGTGTGATGGGGATTGCTGCATATCAGCAGTTGGATGTTCTTGCCTCTGGCGGTAGCTTGTTTGCTCTGGGGGCCAGGAATCGAATTCAGTTTACACTATCATTAAAAAAGAGGGAGAGAGATAATAAACTATATTTTGGTGGGAGTGGTTATTAAACACCTCTTTGGGGTATGCCTTTTAAAAATGCTTATAGAAAAAAAGTTTTAAAAAGAAAGCTAATGCTAGTATATACTGCAATGTTAGGGGAATGAACATGTTTTCCTACTGCATTGGGGACTTCTATAGATAGGTTAATGAAAGGTCTTTTATTATGTTACTGGACATGAAAACTTTGTCTAATTTCTTACTCTATTGTACGTTTACAGTTGCAGCACTAAAAATGGATGACATCAAACATTTTTAACAAAACGATGTACAAACTAAATAAGGACTATTTATTGATAATGTTTTGCTACTCTTGTCAGACAATGGCTATAAAATGAATTAGGCAGTCTTAAAAAAAAAAAAAAACAGAAAAAGAAAAAAAAAGAATGTTGCAAATTTGTTAAAATGCCAAAAAGGACAGTTTAATTTTGTATAGACTGTGCTCACCTCAGGTTTCTTTAGTGTGCTTGAATGCCCTTCTTTCCGTATAACACTTATCTTATTAATTTGGCAATGAATATCTTTTCTTTAAGTTTAAAAAAAACTGGAATTAATTACATCTATCTTTTTTTGCTGTTTATATTTAGGGGTTTTTGTTGATAAATCAAGTCTTGGTTGTGGCTTGCTGAATTAAATATTTATGAGTGGTGCATTTTTAAGTATAGTGAACAAGACACCATATTAAGTACAGTGATAAAGCATCTATATTCTGTAAAAAAAAAAATCTGCCTATGCATGTTTTTTAAGAAAAAAAATGGCTGTATCGGCCTCTACGGGACTGTAATGCGCTTAGTGGTCTGACATATACTGGAAATATATGTATACTGGCGTACTTTATATTCTCTAAAATGCTTAATGCCTTTGAAATTTTGTAATCAAAAAAGCTTTGAAAAAATCTAAAGGGGAGAGTATTCTTAAAAGTTTTTAACATAAGCTGTCAGTGCACATATAGATGGTTAGCATGTTGAGCAAACCTTGTGAAATTTCAATAAGTTTATAGTTACACTTGGAACTCTAAATGCATGGAAACTGTTAATGTCATAACAGTTAGTTACTTTGTTTTGTTCTGTCATGTGCCACAAAATATGTACTTTTTTCACTTTTTTCCCTTTGTATATCAGTTACGGGTTACAACTGGTTCATTCTGAAAACAACAACAGTCCATTCATATTTTTTAACAACTGTATAAGTGCCCAAGTAATTCACTACAGCCTAAAGCCTTGCCTTTGTAATTTGACTTCTGAAATGTTGGCAATCAAAGCATGCACTTGTAACAATGAAAAAGAAAAAGCATTTTATATTACTACTCAATAAAATGTGCATGAACTTAAAGAACTCTCCTCCTTTCCCTGAGTCTGCTGAAGGGCTTTGTGGGCACACACCCCGTGCCGTCTTCAAGGTGCTGGGCCCCCCACCCCGCATCACAGACGCGCTTCCACAGGTTTCTCTGAGGGCCATGAACCAGGTGTGGAGCCTACTTCCACTCTAAGACTCTTGGTGGATTTGTGTCTCAAATCAGACAAGAGAAATCTATTGAAAAAGCAAATGCCATCTTCTGGCTCCCTTGAAAGTGGAAGCCAGTTAAGAAACCAGAGCATTCCTTTTTATTGAAGAAAAAAAAACCCACTAATTTGTTATCAGGTTGTTTTCCATTGTATGGAATGCCCTACCTGCTAAAGCAAAAAGAACTAAGCTACCAAGTGCATTTTCCTCCCAGGAGAGAGTTGTGTTTGTACTGATATGGAATTTGTATCCTGGCGCTTCAGCTAATATCCAATCACCGAAGATTTAAGATGCACCACATTGCGGTCTCTTTCTAACATTGTTCGTTTCTAGTGCACTTTGTTTATGTAATAAAGTATGCCTGTTATATTAAATAATAAGGATATGGCAATTAGTGATATAGTGTACCAAAGCAAAGATGTTCTAGATATATTCTCTGACAAAGACTATCCCAAATTTATTTTAATGAATCCAAACATTTTTTTTCCTATGGATATTTTTCCATCCTAAAAAAATTACATCCAAGGAAAATATTTAGGTGCAACTTATTACAATGATGTGAAAGAAATGGTAATTCTGGTACTAAGGTGTCTATTTTCTTTCTTATTACTGCAGAGAAAATATCCTGACAAAAATTTCATTTTTTTGGAGTCCTTTCTTTTACAAATTGTGCTGAGGCAACTATGGCATAGAAATAAACATTTGACATTAAAATAAGCAGTGGATGTGAGTATTGCTTGGTCTTTCTGATCAGTAGTTAGAAAAGTAGTACTGTATGTTTTTGCGTAATAAGTCAGTCTAGCAATGAGATTAATGTAGAATTGAAGTTATTCCTCCAAAAGGGATAACACTCCCAGATCATCAGTTCTTAGCTCTGTCTCCTTCACCTTGGGAGAAACTGTTGAATTCTTGAGTTGCTTATGCCAGTGAACCTTGGCTCTCCCACGAGGGCACACACACACACACACACACACACACACACACACAAAAACATAGAAACAATGTCCTTTGCTCTCCTCCATCCATTCCCAAGGGGACTTACCTCTCATGGGGTTCAAACTCAGTGCTGAATTTTCATCCAGCTGTCCAAGGATTAAGAGCTAGATTTGACTGACCCTAGGTCAGCAATTGTTCTTATCTAAAATATCGTCTACTTACATTTGTTTAAAACGTTTTTTGAAGAAAGAAGAATCTTCAGAGACTAAACTTGTATGATAAGGGGGACAAAGCAGAGGAACGTCTGTGTGCATCACGTGGCAGGCCCTAGAGCAGAGTGTCAGAGTGAAACGATCTTGTGACGTCAGCCCAGAAAGGGTCATGGTGATGCTGAGGCCCCAGAATGATCTCATCCTGAGACGTTTCTTTCCTTCCCACCCCACCACATCCATGTGAAATAATACGTGTTAGTACACATGCATCTTTCTGCCAAGAAACCAGAGCCAGTATATGAAGTTGGCGCCATAGGAGGGGCAGTGGCAATGGCCTTACTTAAATGTGTCGTGCTTTTCCTTGACTTCTTCATGTCTCGCACTCACTGGACGCCTCTTGTCACACTCCATTAAGAAACAGGGACTTTTCAGCTTGCCCTGCCTAAGTGCCTACATTTTTCAAGACTAGAAGCCCCTTGAGTGGGACAGATTTGAGATCCCCACACTAAAGATAATTTGTTTTCCTCCTGGGATGTGGCCTTCCACTTATTCACTCCACAAACATTGAGCCTCTGTTCCTCTCACTGTTCTAGGTTCTTATTTTTTCCACAAAAAAATGTCTGGCAATGTCTTGCCAGCATATCAGTTTTCGTTATGATTTTAAATGTCAGCATTCCATCAAACAGTGAGTCAGTGTCTGGCCTAAGACTGAGCTGCTTTGTAAGGCCATTCTTCTGCTCTGTTTTATGGAGGTTCCTTTCGGATCTATTTTAAGGTAATGTTAACCAGAAAAGCCCCTGACGAGGCTATTTCATGCTAAGTTCATTTTTTAAAAATGCAGCCATAGTAACGGGAGGCAAGAAGTAGCAAAAGAAATGTCGTGCCTTTTTCTGGCAATCACATTTTTAAGAGGCAACATGGACAAATTGGAATGCATGTGGGAGAATGGAGACCCAGCAGAGGAGAGGGTCTGTTTTAAGGAAGACTGAAGAAAGCTACAAGGTGAACAGGAGACATGATGGCTATAATATTGTGTTGGTTAGTCCAAAAGACCTTGCTTCAATCAGAGAGATGCCCAGTTATCATAACGTAGACGTTGCTAACGGCTGAGGCTGTTTACCCAGAAGTAAACTGCAGGAGAAGGTGGATGGCTCCCCTTCTCTGAAAGTGTTGAAACCAGGCAGACTCAACTCGGTGCCACAATCATCTCCTGAGCAGTGCAGTATGGAAGGAGCTATACTAGACACAGTAGAAGGGGCTCTCTTCAAAGATAACGTTGAAGTTATCCTTCACTTAATTCAGGCTTTTGGGAACATAGAACTTTGGTTTGCAAACGGTTCCCCAGAACCTGTGTTTCCAGGAATACTGCCATGGGCTGAGCTTTCGACATCAACCAAAGCAGCCCTTCTTTCTATTTCACACATTGAGCGTCTATATAAGACACCAGCTGAGAAGAGTCCCCACTAGATTAACACAGCTGGGAACTGACGGTATGGAATACTAGCTCAGAACAAAGTTCAACTCCAGTCCTACAATGTTCAAGTTGTATTCTGAAATCATTTTAGACCGAGTGTTGGAGACATCTAGGTTCCTTCCCAGCAGCTCCCTGTTGTCTGCAGGACTAAGAGCAACTTCCTCAAGGTGGCCTGTAGGGCCACAGTCTGACTCTCTCCAGTCTCATCCACCCCACTTTCTCCAACTTGACCCTGAGCTTCAGCCATGCCAGACATTTAACAATGCTCAGAAAACACCAGGTCTCCTTAAACTTCTGGTCTTTATTCCTGCACCTTCTGTATGGAATGACATCTCCATTGCAGATGTCAAATTTGCCTTAAATTCTGGAACAAGGCATTTTCTCCTCTCTAGGTGCATAGTGTCCTGTACTACCTCTATTTTAGCACTTAATACACTGTGTTTAATTGTTTATCGTCTTTGTCTGGCACTTCGGTGAGAATTGTTGCTTACCTTTGTTTTCTCAGCATGTAACAGTGCCTGGCACAACATTTCGTGGAAGAAGGGCAGGTAGGGAAAGAGAACGAAAATGCTTTCCAGCATGGATGGCCTCCTGATATGGGTTACCCCAGAGTCCAAGTGGCAAACCCTTACTGAGGAACCGCTGAAACACTGACCCAGTGCGCTAGTTCCCACTCTTTCTGATAAGCATCTTCAGGGCCTGCAGGTCTGGTGTGGAGCACACAGTTTAATGAGCATCCACCAAAACTCTTATGATCAAACAAGTTTGAGAAACCATGTCCTAGTTTATTTCTGTAGCAAATTTAAAATTCAGTCCTATATTTCCAATTCAACAAATTTTCTAGCATGGGCAAATATTTTACTGCTACATTGCTGCTATACAGAGTTATGCATAATGAATTTAATTTTTGTTCACAGTTGCTTAATGAATATGAATTTAGATGAAAATATGGGAATTATTTAATATTTGTGTAAACCTTAATATTCGCTAATTAGGCAGGTTATGGGGAGGAGGCAGTGGCCTTTTTGAGTCTATGACTTCATCCAGAAAAGATTAGGTTGGTAAAGTGTCTGGACATTCCTCTGTGCAGAATCAATGAAAAAGCCTCATGTGTCTTTTTTTTTTTTTTTTTGGTGAGGAAGATCAGCCCTGAGCTAACATCCACACCAATCCTCCTCTTTTTGCTGAGGAAGACCGGCTCTGAGCTAACATCTATTGCCAATCCTCCTCCTTTTTCTCCCCAAAGCCCCAGTAGATTGTTGTATGTCATAGCTGCACATCCTTCTAGTTGCTGTATGTGGGACGCGGCCTCAGCATGGCCCGAGCAGCAGTGCGTTGGTGCGCGCCCGGGATCCGAATCCGGGCCGCCAGTAGTGGAGTGCACGCACTTAACTGCTAAGCCACTGGGCCAGCCCTACCTCATGTGTCTTGAAGAGAATGAAATGCTTTCATATTGGAAAGGTTGCTTCTTTCACATCACCCCTCCTGCTATAACAACCTCACCCACCATCACCACTGGCTTGCCATAATTTGTTCAAAAAATGCATTTTGAATGTATATTCAACACAGTTTATCTTCAAGAGTCTCATAATGTACCTGAAATTTTACCAGGAGAGAGTCATTCCTTTGGGTTCAATAGCCCTTTCTCCAAAAGCCCTTTAGTAAAAGATCTACATTAGGGAAGGAAACCGCATTGTCAGTTGCTAAGATCTTAGTGAGAATCACTTACCACAGTCCTGACGGCGCTGACCAAAGGCTGAGAAAGGTAGGTGTGTTCATAGAGAAGGGAAGGCCAAAGCTGGGACAGCACTTGGGCGAGCAGGCGGGAGCTCTGGCCCTCAGAGAAGAGGATTCCCATCTGATCAACTGGGTGCGTTTATTGTGTAGCTCCCTGTGCTACACACGTGCCAGCAGAGAGGAGGATACAATGACGTTCAAAACACAATCTCTCCTCTCACAATATGCAATAGCAGTGAAAATAAATGAATGTTTTGTGCCACACATGCTCAGGTCTGTGTAGTGGCCTCTATGATTTCCAGTGTGGAGTGAGACCTGAGTTGAAATTTTTACAGCTCTGCTGCTTACCAGTTGCCTGTGTGACCTTGAGAAACTTACTAAGCCTCTTTAAACTTCATTTTATCATTGGGAAAATGAAGACAATGAGAGTAATTCATTCGTAAACTTTTCCTGGGGATTAAAAAGGAC